GTTTCTTGAGATACAAAGGGTCTTAAGAATCTAATAGCGTAGCATGCCTTGCACAATTTAGCCTTAAGTCCATCTATGTGGTCCTTCCATGACAAGGAATTGTCAAGAGTGATACCTAAAAACTGAGTGTTTGTAACGTTAGGAATATGTTTATTTTTATAGCTAATATCTATAGGAGTTGTTAATGCACTGGTGGTTCGAAATTGCACATATTGTGTTTTATTATAATTTAATGATTAATAAATTATAGTTAAACCATATGTTCAATTGTTCAAATACAAGAGTGAGATCATTTGTAAAGTTTACTATATTGGGATTACTGACGATGATACTAGTATCATCGGCAAATAAAACTGGCTTAGAAATATTATTTACAACTTTGGGTAAATCGTTTATATAAAAAAGAAAAAGGATTGGGCCAAGGATGGAACCTTGAGGTACACCACACTTAGCCCTACCCCAATCTGAAAAAGTATGAGAACATGTTTGATCATCATCATCAATGCAGACTCTTTGGTATCTATCATTCACTCTATAGTTCGTGAAGTATGTTTCATATGACACAAAATTAATGACACATCTAAGTACCTCAGAAAGAAACCTAAATGAAAGTCATTCACAAGTTGACATGAGTTCTATTATCTTCATATATTCATACGAGGTCTTTATTATGTGGCAGACAAGACAAGTTAGAAGTATACGTATTAGGCTTAGCAGTAAAAATCAAAACTGACTTCCCAAATTGTAAGAACCATTTTGTGACACATATCTAAGTTTCATTTAGTAAGTAAAAATACATCCACTATCTGGGAAATTCTTAATACCAAACCACAAAGTGGTCCAAATATACACACAGACTTGATAATGTACTCAACATATGCAAATGTATATCTACTTTCTGGCCACTGTGTATACTGATATCACAGTACCTCTCATACTACTTCAAATATTGTCTTAAGAGAACAAGAAGACTGGTGAACTAATTGGTCATCAGTGGTCAACACACCTTCTGTAGCAGATGATGGACTTTGTCAACAGGCAGAACAAGAGGAGATTTCTTCTTGCCACGATCCAGAGCCTCTTTGGCATCAGAAAGCGCCCATTTATCAATTGGAGTTGGGAATGTGCGCCGCACCCTTTCCTCCACATCCTGTACCGTGTGTGGTGAAGGACGTGCACACAGCATCCCCAGCAGTCGCAGAATCAAGCTTTCTACATAGTCCAGTGCATCCTCCCGGGCATCCAGAGAATGATGAACCTGCTCCAAGACCTGAAGTCCAATCAAGCACATCAGCAATGAATTAAACCAATTCTTGCTAAATTAACTACACACAAAGATGGTGAATGTAAACTAGAGGGAATAGGAAATGAGATGACTGAAAAATATAAGGATTCAATGTCCCATGACAAATTTTAGAAAATTGTTGACAGCTTGGATCAGAAAATGTAAACAAATAGCTGCTCGGTAACTTCAGCAAGCCATGATTGACTTTAGTAAGAGAAAGTGATAAACAACTCTGATCTTTATATTGAATTTATATCTCCTTAATTAGTTGTTCAGGCTTTGCTTATTTTGATGGGGGACCAACATCTCTTTATAATAACTGGCTAAGATTCCTTCCATGTCCTTCCTTACAAATATTTTATTGTACTGTTGTGACTATTTATTGGAGTTTCAGAATGTCAATATATTTTTCAGTTATCAGATACCTTACTTCATTCTTGGTTTGCACTGAGGGCCTGTTAAGAATCTGTAATGCTCTCATTTTTCCCACTGTTCAACTTTGCTGCCTATAGTTTGAAATTCTCTGGAATTTTCTCAGCCTACATTCATTCCGTAAGAAAAAAAGTATGCTTACTAGATCACCCTGAAGAAACAAAGAGACAGAGGAGGGGGAGGAAGTGAGTGAGTGTGAGAATGAGCGAGTCTGTGTGATTTCAATTTTTGAACCAGTCGACTGATTTTCATATCTGGTATGGATGTTGTGCCATTGGATGACACCCCAACCGCATACTTAATTTCATGCAGTCTGTAATACCAATAGGACAGATGGAGGAGCTTGTGTGGTGGGATTCAGTGCCACTTATTACAGAGCTCTNCCCGAAACGTTGTGTTTTTAATAGAAATTAGACTGTTTTTAGAATAGACAAGATGATGGATAATGTCCAGCAAAATATTAATTGTGAAATTATTATTATGGTAATATTTTTCATTGAACATGAACTGACAAAATGGCAGCAGCATGAAGTCTGTATTTAGCCTTCAGTTTGATTCCGATAACTAGTAAACCCACAGGAGCTATGCCTTAGAAAATTAATAAGAAGACACATCATAAATGCACCTATAAATTTTGTGTGAAATACTGTTTGTTCATAAGATTATACTTACATGGCAATGGTGCCAATTTTGAGAATGTGCAACAAATCTAAGGTGCTAAAATCTGTATTTCAGTAACAAGCATGTCTAAAAAGATGAGGAGGAGGAGCAGGACAATAATAATTTGTCAAATGTTTTCAGTTGCAATGAAAATCTGACCTGGCCTATGGTCATATGTGAAAATTACAGCATGCTTGCGAATGAGAAAAATTAATTTTATTGTTGCACTGTAATTTGTATTATCGCTCTGTGAAATTTACAAGACTAGGTTATGAGTTCTACCCAGAATGCTTTACGTAGCCAGAAGCCTTTAATGCAAAGCAAACACCACTTCTTAGAAATATTCTTTCCCCTTTAAATATGTTACATATTCCCTGAAGTTGTGAACTTCTCTTGTACATACTGTATCCCATGTAAGTTAAAACATGCTATCTATATATGGTTGTGCCCACTGTTTCAGTTCTGATGAAATGTTTTCTTCTGAATGCCATTGTCTTGCTTGTTTGTTCAGTATGATTATGATACATAATCAGATATAGGCAGTGATAACAACAGTACATGGAAATTGCAGCTGACAACTCTTTTATTATTAGCAGATTCTGATAAACTGCAGCTTATAAAATATCTAACCTACAAGCTACACTTTGACCTTCAACCTACAGACTACATACAACTAATGTGTATATTAACACTTAAATTTACTGCTTCCCACATTAAGTGGGTCCCTTATCATTGCAGCATGGCATGCTCTAAGATTGTGGCTGGAAGAGATGAACTCTAGATATACAGAGTAGATAGCAGCATACATGTCAAATAAGGAGTAGAAGACAGATAATGGAGAACTATCCTCCAGTCTGGGGCTTGGATGCTGAGCTCACAACCCCTCACTGTAAAAGTTTGGCATGTTATATACAACATTGAGCCTCACACTTGAACAGTGTCTTTGGCAGGCAATAAATGCCTTCAACAGAGTTTGAGAAAGTATTAGAGAGAATATAACAAGTTAGGAAATGTAAACCCAGCATAACAATTCTGTCACTTATGCTCACTTTCCTTTAATTATATAAAAAGCCATATGATTGAGAAACAAAATGTAATAGTAATTAAATGTGTGTTCCATTTTCCTCTAAGAACAGTCAATTTTTCATTTTGATTATAATTTAGTGAGTTAAGACTCAGGTGTATGTATATGTAAAAAGCAACTTATTTTTGTTAAATATTAACAAAGACTGTGACGTGTCACCAAACTTCAGCAAATTCCACAACATCTACTTTCATGAAAATCCATTAAGTTGTTTTGTGCTGAGAGACAGACTGAAACAGTGAAACTAATAGGCATATTTTTGCAACTTTCTTTTATGAAGGTGCCAACTAGAAAGCAAAAAAAAAAAAATCATAAAGTATAAAGTTTACATTTAAAATGTGTAATAGACATAAAAATATGACATTCTTACAACTTCAAATTGCTTGCAAGAGAAGGAAATGTAGCTAATGTGGGAACGCAAAGTGTCATTCCATAATACCAGAGGCAGTTTATTTTCAATAGTCCAAATAACTGAGACTGTGATAAACGGTTCCCTTATAATAAACAAACATTAAATTCACACAGAATTATATATTCACTATTAGCTGATACACATCAGCATCAGCCTACAGCGAATGCACATACAGTCAACATTTAGGCTTCACTATTGCACACACTAAAAGAAAGTTAAACATACATAACTCCGTAACACACACATCAGTCTTACTGTAATACAACACTACATCAGAAATTGAAATATATTTGATTACAGCAGAATCTACACTCAATAACGACTTTCTTGTTTTTCTGCTTAATTGCTCTTTTTTATTGAAACAACTGAAGCCTTGTTTTGCTTGTATTATAATCACAAATAAAAGACTCCAGCTGTATGATCAATTATATTTTAATCAAATTTTAAGCAGCGTCATCAGCAGTGACTTGAAGCACAGAGCAAATAGTGCTCAAGATGGTTCAAGTTCGTATAGCAACAGGCGTGACCAGAGTGGTTTGAATGGCTGTTGTACTGCGATGTGGAAAGCAAATGGAAAAACTACCATATTATCACTTTTCCTGGATAGTCTCTTCTCAAAAACAGAGATACCATGTATGCGAGATGCTTCCTCTGGAGACAAAACAAACCAGGGGGGGGATAGAAGTGACCAGAAGACGAGGAAGAGGACGTAAGAAGATGCTGGATGACCTTGGGGACAGAAGAGGATATTTTTATTTGAAGGAGAAAGTTTGTGATTCCATTAAGTGGAGGAACTGTTTTGGAAGAGACTGTGGACCTGTCATCTTACAGATACTGATGAATAAATGAATATATTTATAAACATGCAGACCTACAAATTCTAGAAAACCGAAATTAACGGCCATGGGGATTCACTGCACTGACCACATGACACCCTCTATCTGCTAAAATTGGCACTAACTTCGCCAACAAGTGGCGGTCACTTAGTTGGTATAGTTCACTTACGGACTGAAACCACGGAGTTAGTTAGTTCGACCTACAAATTCTGGTAGGAGGAAGCTTTGTTTAATTACTACCAAGGCTATCAGACTGATAAATCTTCGGGTGTGAGGAGACCACTGTTGTTTGTGAAAGGCAAGCATATAAGCTGTCAGTTTGGTTTAAATATCTCAAAAACATTAAGTCTTGCAGAAAAAGTATGTGGGATATAAAATGTGTTTCATTTGTCTCTACAACTTTTTGTAACAAAAATTTTTCATTCCAATAAGTATTCAGTGAATTATGCTTCAGACTTGCACGAATACACATAGGCCTTCATGCAGTGTCAATTATTTTTTTCTCATTTTGTCCAAAATCAGAATGTGCTGATGTGTTTTCTAATCATTCTAATGTAAAATTTCTGAGACAATACACCTGGTGAATTAGTTAAGAAGGGATGGAAAGAAAAATTAAACAGAATGCATGCAGTAGTGACAAATGTATGGGAAGTAGAAAAAATGCCAAAGGACTCAGTGGAAGGAATTATTTGTCCTATCTTTAAGAAGAGAGATATAACAAACAGTGCTAATTATAAAGGAATAATTCTGATCAATACATTTTCATTTCACGCATCCTGTTGTGTTATTACATATACAATTCTTTAATGGAGTCCATTATAACAGAACAACATAATGGTCAAGGTCAACATTACCTTAACTACATGTTTCGGCTTTTAAAGACATCATCAGGCAAAACACATGATTACTATATTCACACACTATTGAACTGCAATTTCATTGTGACAGTAAAGCTGGATACTTGATAACTGTTACATTATAAAATACAAGGTATAAAAATATAATGAATTATAAAATTATTACAATACGAAAGTTATAGAATAAAATATGGTTAAAAACTCTTCATGTGATATTGCATATTATGAAGTCATTTTGTTGCAATATTGTTGTTATATTCCAGCGCTGGAATATGACTCATGAGTACCAACCTACTTAAATTTTAAATAGTTCTGAAGAAGTTTTTGAAAGTATTATTCACTAATCAGCACTCCTTTAATTTTAAAAGTAAATTACATCCATCTCATCATGGATTCATTAGATTAAAATCAGTTGCCAAGTAATTTAATTACCCACATAAACACAATCACACCTACAGTCTGCTCATAAGGGCAGGGAGATTACATTTACCTTTAACTTGGACTATTTTATTGGTCCAATTTTTCTCCTGTTATGGCCTGATACTGAAACACTTAAATTTTGAACACTTTATTCCTAACAGCATCGTTACTTCTTCTCATATGTTTAAAAGGATGAAAAAATGTTACTCTATCATCAACATCCTTTGTCACTGTGTAACAACTAATTAATTACAATCTTTTCATGCTATATGTAATAACATAAGGTCCAGTCCTCCAGACAGGTGTGCAGACACTGCTAATATGATGTGAACTTTTCCCCTCAAAAATCTCTTACATGCCTTTCACAGGACGGGATGTAAAGTTTCATATTTCTAGTTTGCTTTTTTCCAGGAAAGAGCTACAATACATGAATGCAACATAATAACAGGCAGCATTTTCGACATCTGTGATCTCAGTGGGTGTTGTTGGATTTGAAGTTCTCAAAGTGGTGACTATGAAGGGTACTATGTTCTGGTATGTGACATTGTGTACTCTGATAGAAGCTCATTGACATTTTGGAGAACAGTACTCCCTCTGTCTTCAGGACTGAAGTGTAAGCCAAGCAAACACTAAGAATCAGTCTGGATATACAAGAAACCGAAGGAATAGTACTTGTATTTAAGATACATATATTTAAATGTTTTCATGTCCTACACGAAAGACAATGTTATACAGGAAGATTTTCTGACAGCCTGCCACATATCATTTGGTTCCTCTAGAAGGAGAGGCATATGCTACTCACGTCAACTCCCACCATGGGTATTCCAACTTGTTCCTCTGAAACATGATACCATATCAGGGAAGATAATATTTTTCACGGTAGCTTTTGTTTGTGATCTGTTGGCCTACAGGCATGTCAATTGCGCTGCAAGTCTGAATATCAGTGCAAAAAGCTGACCCAAGTTACTTCTCTCTCCTCCATTTCACTGGCCAAATGATTTGAGGGAGGAAAGGGGGATTTCAATAACCTCCCTGTATNCACCCTTTACCCTCCAGGAAGATTCCTGGTACTCATTTCTGTTAGAGACTTAGCTGACCCAGGGTCACAGTGCAGCTGGAAGGATAATTCAATTTAAACACCCAATGACCTCATCAGGATTTTGACCTGTGACCTTCCAGCTCGCAGCATAGTGTCTCAACCAACTATGCTGCCGTGTGCAATTTCAATGGAGGAAGTTGTGTAATCAAAACACAGCAGGGGCAAGACATGAAGGTGCTGCTGTATATCATGTAAGATTATAGGAGAGGATGGCCTGACAGATGTAATATGATTCTTTTTTTCATGGGTTATTCAATGAAAATTTTTCATTACTGAGTCTTTACAGTGTCAGATGGTAGAATGATTAAAGTAAAGTAAAGCTATCCCTGTACCAGGCCATAAAGGCCCATAGGGTTGTGAGACGTTGAGGGTCCCACATTATCTAGATGATCAGCTCAAAGATGGCGGTAAGTTTTTCAGCCTTACGCGCCGGCCGCGCTTTACTTCCCAGTAAAATTATGTAATTAATTCCAGGTACTCAATTCTGTTAGAGGCTGAGTCAACCCGAGGGACACAGTGCGGCTGGAAGGATTAGGTAAATTGAAAAAAAAAATCCAGTGACCTCATCGGGACTTGAACCCGTGACCTTCTGGCTTGTAGCATAGCCCCTCAACTAACTACACTACCACGTGCCCTGGTAAAATGATTAATCAATGATGAACTGGAAATGGCTCGGAAAGGTGTCACAGCCTAATTGAGGCACTACCCCAGCACTTGCCTGATACAACTGAGTAAACCCATAAAAACATCAGGATAGCCAGTATCCTGGCTGAGATTCGAACTGAGCACCTCTCAAATATGAGCCGAGTGTTACCTCAAGACCAATCCATTCAGTGTGATAAGATTAGGTAACCATAAACAATGGTAAGGAAATTCCCTACTGAGTTCATGCTTACAAAGCATATATCCCCTGATCAGGTTTAACTGAAATATTAATACTGCATGTAAGCATGCAGTTCACATTATTGTAACACTGTGACACGTAGAAAGCCTGTATCTGGTAATTAATTATTAGACAGATTCAGTCACAAGTATTCATGCACTTTGAAACTGCTACTACTATTATTAGTATAAGTTAGAAAACAAATCAATAAAACATTATGCAAAAATAATAAATGCATTTGTCTGTGTTAGTATTACACAATGAACATGAGCACATTCAGCAAGCTTCTGCAAATTACTTTTCTCTCTTGGGTAAATTAATGCTAAATGTGATAGGAATAAAAAGAAAATTGGATGAGAAGCAACAGGTGAGACATTCTGCTGCTGCAGACACTAAAACTTTACTTTGATACAAATATAATCAACACTACTGTATTCCTACTGACATCCCACTGCTTATTAGGAAAGATGTCCTATTTTTAACTGGATCATACATTTTTTTTATTAAAGATCTTATTGTCACAATAAATTAAAGTAATATTTCTCACAATCAAATGTGAAGCCATGAAGGCAGTGTACAGATAAAGCTTCAAACCATTTCACTTGATCAGTTACACAAATTACATTTTAAGTTAATTACATTATTTGTAAGTTATGTTAGGTACAAGTCTTCAATACTTTCCAGTAGCTGAGTGTAATTCTGAGAATTTCTGAACTACCTTAAAGGAATGCGCATGTCTGTTGTCAAGCTATATAACACTAGTTTCACAAAACCTGTACTCATATGATTCTCTTCCTGAATTTTCTACTATTGTTTACAAACATAACCACAATCCACAATCTAGCATAAAACACACCGACCATGATTGTTTCAATAACATAATTCAAGAACAAAACAGATGTTCAAAATCAAGTGTGTATTATCACTAAGAAGAAGGATGGGCCTTACTTAAGACCAATGCAAAAGAAACAACTAGGTGCAATCCAAACAGCTACCAACGTTACCTTCCGTAAAGAATTGACAAATACTCCTTTCCATTTTGCAGCGTTTTCTTCCTTCTCAAAATCATAATTATGTGGTTCTGATGTTGAAGATGGCGTGGAGAACATTGCACTTTATAATGAATTGTATTCGTTAGTGACAACGCAACTGGCTTCTAAGCGCCATGTTTACAGATTACGAAAATTGAGACAGATGAGATTGACATTGAAACACCACTGGCCTTGAACACGTACAATCACATACAAACGTTCATAAACGCGTGATTAATGTTCACGTAATAAATATGACACTAGGAATGCTAAGAACTTTATGTAAACACACAAAAAATCTTAAAAGACCCATATTTTATCTCACACGCAAACAACCAACCAAACGAAGCACTATCAAAACCCGACTGCGCATGCGAATATCCCATAGTTCGATATATCGGAGAGAGCATAGGCCGTGATTAACATGTTCCTTGTGTGAAGTTACAAATTTCCCACGAAAGGAATTGAAATAGGATCAAGAAACAAGTGTAGTGAGAATGTTGGTGCAGCGGGTTGAAGTAGAAATGGTTTAAAATATTGACGACAGATGGCGGTAGTAAGCGACTAGTTTCTCGTGCCATCTATCGGATCTATCGTCTGTTACTGTAGCTGTAATTTTCCTCAATTTGTATTGTTGGACTTCTTCAACGACTTTATCTATAGCAACATTCTCGAAAGTAGCAAACATGTTCCTCTGACGAAGCGTGAAATTTAATGCCGAAAGTGCTGATTTTCTGTTTATAATACATATAAATTAATAATAGAAGGCCACGTTAAATTACAAATACAATATAGTGCAAAAGTAGGCCTGCTGCTTCGTAGGTATAATTAAGGATCATCAGGAACTACATTCTTTGATGATTAAATCGAACTGTAAATGACTTTTTAGAGACTGGGGGAATGTTGCTTTTCACATCAAGGGAAGCTCAAACTAAGAAAGTTTGGAAACCAGTAGTGCAGAGTCTCACGTTCCCATCAACACGGCTCTCAGTGGTCAAGCGAGACTTTTTCTAGAGCGTTTGCCATCTCCTGAGACAGAGGGAGATCTTGAAAATTATGACAATAGAATACATATATCCTAAAAGACTACAGTAGAAATTTGAGCTCAAAATTTGTTAACTTAAGGAATAAAGGTGAAAGGAAATGGAAACAGAAAAAAATAGACTGTGATTACTGAGTTTACTCTCTTTTTTTGCGCCTTGTAGCCATGTTCCATACGAAATTCCAGTGAAAACATTTATAACGGGTTCACAAAATTTAGGACTATTTTCTAAGTCTCGAAAATGTCCTTCACAAGAGACAGTACTAATAACTTAGTGAGCTTGTTGGTGAAAACCTCCTGAGTCTGCCTTCTGCGTAAATTATGTATGGACCTTCTTCGGAGAAAAATACGTTAGGTCGTCAGACGAAGTGGTTGCTGGGATCGATAATTTTATGACTTCTAGAAATGGTGTACCCAGATTTGACACGATATTTTATGTCTGACACATTAAGTCGTAAAAATTCGGTTGCCGTTGGCAAAAACAGCATACGTCCAAAATGTGAAACGTTGAGATATCGTCATCATTGCTATACAAGCACTGCGGTGGTAGGGTAAAGGAGTCGTGGAAAAGAGGGATCATGTTGTACTCTTATAGTTGTCAGAAGAAGAGTCACATGTTTGGAACAGGTTTTATTGTTAATAAAAAAAGGAAGCATCTTAATTTAGACTTCCAGGCAAAACCTCACAGAACATGTAGGCTACGAATTAAGGGAAAGTTTTCTAACTATAGCCTTATTTGTGCGTATGCCCCAACTGAAGATAAAAGTGATGAGGAGGAAGACTCCTTTTATGATGAATTGGATGAACTGTATGGCGAATGTCCAAAAAGGGATTGTAAAATAATCATAGGGGACATGAATGCTGAAGTGGGGAATGAAGATGTATACAGATCTGTTATTGGAAAACATAGCCTACATAACAAGTCAAACGATAATGGGATGAGATTAATAAATTTTGCTTCCTCAAGAAACATGGTAGTAGGTAGTACAATGTTTAATCATAAGGATATACATAAACGAACCTGGAAATCCCCTGATGGAAATGTGTTTAACCAAACTGATCACATCCTAACAGATGTAAGACATTGTTCAGACTTGATGGATGTCAGGAGGCCAACATTGACTCTGTTCATTACTTAATAATATCAAAGATTAGAAGTCAAATATCTAATACAAGGAAGATACATGGATCCCAGGCTAAGAAATTGAATTGTGGAAAATTGGTGGAACAAGGAGTTGCAACCAGATATACTGAATTAATTAGTGAATGCCTGGCAGGTCTCTCTGATAGTGAGGATGTCAGTGAAGCCTGGAGGGTCCTCAGATATGTTATTATAAATGCTGCTGATGCAGTTTTAGGAAGAATGGAAAGGATAAAGTACAAGAATTGGTTTGATGGAGAGTCTGAGCAAGTGACAAATAAAAACAAATCAGCCATATAAGAGAATGCAGGAAAGGAACCATACTCGAGGGGCCGTGAAAGAATACCGTGAAGCGAGAAGAAAAGGAAAAAATATCGCATAAAAAGAAGAAAAGGGAATATGATAAACAAGAACTGATTGAACTGGAGCATTTAAGAAGTTCAAACGAAATTAGAGCGTTTTATCAAAAACTAAACAAGAGTCGAAAGGACTTTCAACCTAGAACAACCTTATGTAGAGATAAAGAAGGCACGATATTGAGTAGCGATGAAGCAATATTGGAAAGATGGGCGCAATATTTTGAGGAATAATTAAATGGTAATGCCTCTGAACAAGCGGAAGGTATGACCAAAGACAGGAATGAAGAAAATTTTGAGGCTGAAGAGGCAGCGCCGACCATTAAAGAAGTAGAACAAGCTATCAAGAAATTGAAAAATAATAAAGCTCCAGGAATGGATCTCATCACGGCAGAATTAGCAAAATTTGCAGGCCCAGAATATGCTAAGAACTTACATCAGCTGATAGTTAAGATATGGATAACTGAAACAATCCCAGAGGAATGGAACCTAAGTACTGTATGCCCTATCCATAAGAAAGGCAATGTCATGGTATGCTTTAACTCTAGAGGAATTAGTCTGTTGTGCATAGCACGTGTTGTCACGTGTTCGGTGTACAACGCACGACAAGTAACTTAACGCCGTATTTGATATAGCGAATTTATTGCACATTCGCTCTTACAATCACACAATTTACAATCTCACAATTACTGCCCTTGGCAGTATCACAAATTATCACATCAAATCTTCTAACCACGTTTTCGGGTCTTCTCCCCGCGACTGCTGCTATATTTCAACTGTCTTCGGCGGATGCTGCATTTTAACTGACTCCTTAGTCAAAGTTAAAGTCACATTGCGACTGACGGTCAGTCCGTCGGTAAGTCTTGTTGTCGAGCCCCATCTGGGGCTCATGACCAGATATTTATTACTGCTTGACCGTTACGGTCTTGTTTTTTGGGGCGCCCTCTCTGACGAGAGGACGGGTCTGTCTTTTAGGCAGTGTAGTTCTTTTATAGTAAACCCTCAGCCGGGCAACGGGACAACGCCTCGCTTCCTTGTCGCCTAGTAGTGTTTACAAAGGCGTTGCTGGGCAACGCTGCCGAGAGTTGTTTACTGCTGCCTAGCAACCGCGGCATCCTCCGCTACGTCACCGCGGGGGAGGAGGGCGGAGTGTTGACTGGCCTGTTACCGTAGTAGCGACAGCGCCCGATGTTGTTACGTCACCGCTGGCGGGGGAGGGGATATCCTCCATAGCGCAATACGTCACACTATTTTCCAACATTCTATTTAACAGACTCTCTCCCTTTTTGGATGGCGTAATTTGGCGTAATGTGGGTTTCGTCAAGGAAGATCAACTAACGATCATATTTTCGCTATTCGCCAGGTCCTTGAGAAGTGTAATGAATTCTAAATTGAAACACATCATCTTTTCATTGACTTCCGATCAGCCTATGACTCCATAGATAGAGATAGCCCTTTTCTGGCAATGGAAGAGATGCACATTCAACGGAAGTTAATCGCCTTAGTCAGAGCCACTATGAGAAAGACCCAATGCCAAATTAAGATTCAGAATATGTTGTCCAGCCCTATAATAACTAGAAATGGAGTTCGACAAGGGGATTCCCTAGCCTGCCTTTTGTTCAATTTAGCATTAGATAAGGTAGTTAGAGATGCAGGCATCAACACAAGGGAACTATATTCTATAAGTCAGTTCAAATTTTGGCATTTGCAGATATTGATATAATTGGTAGAACATAAAAATCTACGAAAGAAGCTTTTCTTATTTTGAAAAGAGCAGCAAAAAAGACAAATCTACAAATTAACCAAAATAAAACAAAGAAAGACTGTGCTAATGGACGTGCATATATTGAAATTGGCTCATAGAAATTTGAGGTTGTATGTAGTTTTACTTACCTTGGATCAGAAGTTAACTGTAAAAATGACATCAGTGATGAAATAAAAAAGCGTGTACTTGCGGCAAATAAATGTCTCCATGGCCTTAGGAAACACCTGAAATCCCAACTAATACCCAGGAAGATCAAAACTATGTTGTATAAATTACTTATAAGATCAGTGCTATCTTATGCCTCTGAGACCTGGCCACTGTCAAGATCGGATGAAAGACTGTTAAGCATATTTGAAAGGAGGATCCTGAGATATATCTTTGGACCAGTGGAAGAAAATGGAATATGGAGGAAGAGGTATAACCATGAGCTATACAAACTATTTAATGAACCAGACATTATCGGCTTTATAAAGATGAAAAGGCTTGAATGGGCTGGACACCTACTCTGTTGGGTTCCTTAGAAAGAGTTAACCTCATTCACTGGACAACCCCTGTCATATTCACTACAGCTATTTATTCATCTGAGACAAGTCTAGTAAATCTGACAAGGGCTGTCCAGTGATTGAGGTTACCTCATTCTAAGGGACCCAACAGAGTAGGTGTCTTCTCCTCATCACCCGGGGACAGAAACATATCCAATTTTCTAATTTCTAGAATACCGGACGCTGGACAAAGTACGGAAACCGAGTAATTCTGAGTATTATACACCATATCCAGAAGCCTTTAGAATCTAAGGGGCACGTAAGTTGACCTTACAACGGAATCCTCACCAAGTTCAAGCTCAAGTATTCTATGACTTAACAAATGGTGTTAAGCTGCAGTGCCAGCACTTTGCACAGTGTCAATGCCATTGCGTTTGATTTCATGTACATCTCCCAGTGCCATGTATGACAATGAATAATGTAATTCATAGTAGGCAGGTAGTAGAACTGCGTTTCGGTATCCATAATTTTGGAACATGCGAAGTAGTTTTGTACACATGTACGGCGAGCAAAGGGACAGGCACATCGGAACTCTTTGTTTTCTGATGGTTGTCCGGGGCAAAATAAAATCTTGTGATGCTTCAGCTTGCATATGCCTCGGTACACATACTGAGAAATGTGAAAGTCGTACACTTATCTTTCCAGCGCAGGGACATTCATGTTTACGGTGCGATGGCGACTTTTGACAAATTGGAGTACACGAGAAAGACGTAGTACCATGTAAATGGGATGACATCATAACTTATGCTGAGCATAATTCATCACCATTCAAAGTAGTGAATCCAGTGAAGCTAGGTAATATTTTCCACGAGATGCAGTCCAGTCTAGGCTTACATACTTCGCTAACCTGAAACCTCGGCTAATTATCGAACCGCTTCGCACGTATCGGGTAGACGACGCCGAGTCATGTGTAATTTTGGCAAGAACGTCACATCAAGGACCGTGGAACTCTCACCTGGTAACTCAAAAAGAGAAAGCGTTGGAGTTAAAGCTTGTCCAAAGGCAACCTACTACTAACCCGAAACCATCAAAAGTGGGTGATATGTTGATCCTTGTCAGGTACCTAAGGAAGTAACAGATGCTACAGTCTTTGAAGCGCTTGCTGGTGACTCATTTAATGAAGTGTCAGAAGGCAACACAGAGACTGACAGTGAAGGTAACAGCAGTGATTTGAATGAGTGGTTGGTCATGTTAAAATTCCATGCAAAATGGGCGAAAGTGTTATTTTCTTCTTTGCCAGAAAAAAAAAATTGGTTCGCTCTAATTATTATGTTGTAAGATTTGAGGCTTTCACGGCGGTGACTATGAAGAAAGCAGTCTTCTGGGATTTGGCGCCGTGTATATGTGGTATCCCAGAAGACTGCTTTCTTCATAATTATTATGTTCTTTATTGTCTACTTAATACTGTCAGTTTCTGTTTTGATACCTACAGATCGTGTACAGTATACGTAACTTTGAGTTGATACTGTTAGTAACTCACTTGTACACATAACAAAGAGTTTTTTTTTTCATTTTCTCAAAAAAAAAATGTGGACATATTCTGTGTTTCCTTGTAGCAACTAAATTCCAAAGGCTAATGAACTTAATCCTTGATTCTTGATGTTTGACGATGACGAAAATCATTCAAAACAGTTTGCAGCCACCTACTCACGCTGGTTCCTCGCTCGCGGATTTTTCTACCCTGAAGATGGAGGCGATACATTTCTCAGAAACGTCGGTTCACACAAGATCTACACGGCGCCACTTCCCAGAAGATGGTATTCTTCAATGAAGTAGAAAGGTTTGAAACAAATCTTTCGTGGTCTAATGGATTTGCATTTACCTGGATGGGTGAAGGAAACCCACAAAAACTTGAACAGGACAGTCGGCGTCCCGTCCCAGACTCGAACCGAAGTTTTATCGCTATACCAATTTCCAGGGTTTAGAAAATTTGAGTTCCCTCTCACTTATTAACTGGAATCTCATAGACATCAAGAACTTATAACATTCAGGAACTGTTATATGACAACATTTTCGAACGTAGGAATCTTCGTGGATTTAAATAAGTTTTCTGCCTGTAATTTATCATCTACATCTATCGCAGCAATTTTTTTTAATCACTAACAGACGAGTCACTTACAAAAGTAATCTTGATAATACAAACCGCGGGCATGAATTCAACCAAGTTAATTAACAATTATATCTTAAATTGAAGAAAGCAGTCTTCTGGGATTTAGCACCGTGTATATGTGGAGTTAACCGACGTTTCGGAGGAACGTATCGCCTCCATCTTCAGGGTAGAAGAAAAAATATAAGAAATCTGCAAGCGAAGAGACCGCGAAACGTCGGTTAACACCACATATACACGGTGCCAAATCCCAGAAGACTGCTTTCTTCATAGTCACCGCCGTGAAAGCCTCAAATCTTACATATCTTAAATTGCTTTATTACGTTTTAAATCTCTCTTCTTTTAATTGGATGCCTCCGACTAAGGAGTTGGGAATCACAGCTACAAAGGATCTCAACAACGATACTGGAGAATAAATATTTATTAACATGAAATACTCTTCATACATTTGGTAGAAAGTATTTATAACATCTAAAACCTCGAATACGGCGTACTCGTGTATATAATGACAATAATTTAACAATAAATAAAATAAGCAATAAATATTCAGAGGACATATTGAGCACACTGCAATTTTATATTATATTTCTACCCTTCATTTACTTCTTTAATAAGAAAAATTAAATATCAAACATAGAAAATATTATTTAATAACATCTTTATAACATCACACATGCACTACCTAACATACATACCAATATGTACTCCACACATACAATTCGTAATACTACTGATGCCTTATGATATTAATACTATAGAATCTGGATGTACCAGCAGAAATGACAAAAATATAAATAAAGAAATGAAGCTATGACTTGCTTCATTACTTTGAGGAAAAATAATCGAATATTAATAAAATAACTTAGTAAATATAATTAACTTAACATAAAATACATTTAATTGTATAAATAATAAAATAAATTAAGTTCTGTCAATGAATCATGAAATAGGAAATGGGTACAAAATGGAAAAAAAATAATGCAATGTCTTCATATTAAGACGCTCTTCCTGTCGCGTAGAACAAGCACCTCTCTCAGTTCCTGATTACATCATTGTCCTGATGACGACATAGTCTGTTACCACAGTTCTGGATCTACGTTAGCGTTGATTTCCTAGTGTTCATTTCTGAATACACCACCAGCTGGAGAGACGAAGGGAAAATAAATAAATTTTAATATGTATATGCCATCTTCATATTTTTTATTTGTTGGGAAATCTTCACTCGCTAAGAATTTACCCATTTCGGATTACTTGGGTCTGACACGTATGAAGTGATTGAAATGAAGTGAAGTAGGAATGCAGTTATCATAACACAACCTCAGCCACGTTCACTCGAAATATAAATAATGATGAAGTCCACATCTAGCAGTTGCGGTTTGACAACAGGAGACAGGTGGAGTGTTACGGTTACTTTGTTGCAGGGAGATTCTCCCTCAGATCTGCAAAGAAAAAGAAACACACAAATTTTATTTAGAGGTTAGAGATATATAATATTAAAGACACCATCATGCAATTGTCCAACGGAACAAATTTCATTAAATTATCTCTCTCCGCTCTCGAGTGGTTAGCATTACGGTCTCCTTCTCTTCTTGCCCAAGAGGCTGTTTAACGTGGCTCAAGCTCTCTTAAGATTTTCTCGAGGAACTCCACACAAATGCTGGGAAAGCATATTAAATTAGTCCAGGCCGCTTCCGTCCACGTCCTTCTATTATTATTATTATTATTATTATTATTATTATTGTAGGGGGTGGGTTTCCCCATGCACCGCGACTAATAATCTATTGTACGTCCCCCTTTAATATTCTACCAGTCTCCATACCCTGCCGGTACTGGTGCTCGCTATCAGCCCCGTTCAGACAGCGAGGCTGGCTGCGGTACCCGATGCTTACCCATCTACCGGAGGCATTGGAAACTACTTGGGAGGGAAACTTTTTACCTAATAATTTTGTTCAGAGGTCTCCTAGAGACATGAGGATCTTTTACGTGCCGTAAATCTACGACACGGAACCCACGGCTTAAAGTCCCTCCCGGAGGACTTGTTCCCTGAATTTTTCCGCCCTTAAAAATTCCACGACTTCCGCCGGGTTTGAACCCGCGTACCTTGAGTCATGAGGTAGGAACGTTACCCCTAGCTACGGAGGTCGCTCACGTCCTTCTAAATATGCCATTCGAAATAATCGTCCTACTCAGGGTTATATAACCTATTCGCATGCCTGAGCTGTACAACTACCGATATTCGTGCCGCCTGCGACCGCCGGCTGCTTCTGTGTGGCTCATAAGAATGTTCTCCAGTTCCTCAAAACATGTGTTGATGCGTACGTCCTCTTTAAAAACGGGTGAGTCTTTGCTAATATTCCGTGCATTTTTTCGCAGTTGATGTCCAACGATACCCAACAGCTAATCCAGAAGAGAACGAAGTTGTACGATTCCATGACCGTAATTAATATCGATAAAATGAAGTAGCCGTTAATAAATGAATATAAGCATTATGGGTACAATTCTTATTCGCGTGTTTGTGTTTCATACAGGCCCTATAAAATTACTGCGAAGCAAATACTTTTATCGATGAGCTAAATGAAAGAGACGGCACACACACACACACACACACATACACACTCAGGAGTAAACGTGAAAATAATAATAATAATAATAATAATAATAATAATAAGAAGAAGAAGAAGAAGAAGAAGACGACGACGACGACACTGGTATTGGAAAAAAATATGTTTTTTCTTCAAAATCCGGCCCGCGATAAATACCTAAAGAACAGTGCGGTCTTTCAGTGGTTTGAAGTTAGGTAGTTTTAATTTATGCGACATAGGAAGAAACTTGTTTCGCTAAAACCTATTTTTAAGAGTTCCCTATGAGCACAGTGACACTACAGGTGGAAGTAGGCCCAAATTTTACAACTTCTATTTTTCAAATTTATTGATGAAATTTTATATGGAAAGCCTGTAATTAATATTTTGGAACATAATTAATTTCGGTTGAGATATTCCATTAAAATTTCTATTTTACGTAAGTAAATAAATAATCTTCCGCTTTCCTACACTAATACAGGTAAACAAAAGCTGTAGGCCCTATCCATTAAACTACAGAAATTCAGACGGTTTTTATATCGCAAGTATATAATGCCTTTTGGGATAGCTACTAACTTTGTAACCGCGGTTCGATTACCTGTAGGAGTACATTTTATTTGTTCACTACCAAATTCAGCCCAACTCTGTGACTAACTCCGCATATGATTAGGCCGCGCCATAGCTCAAGTCGGTTAGTCGCTGGGTTCCAACCGCGGTGGCCTGGGTTCGATCCCGGGTCTGGTCAAGTGGGATTTGTGGTGGACAAAGTGGCGCTGGGGCGGGTTTTCTCCGAGTACTTCGGTTTCCCCTGCCAATCTTAATTCCACCAATTGCTCCACAATCACCCTCACCTATCATCTGGGGCTGGTACAATAGGCCAGAAGTGGCCGCAGTAGAAGGGACTTAGTCCCACCCCACTAGCAACAAAAAGAACTCCGTATGCGATCCTTTGCGAACCGAGCTTTCTTCTCCGGAAGTGCAGTTACGGAAGTGCGGAGCTGATCATTCACCTGCATCTGATACCGAGGTCTAATAACTCGTGTGCTCTGTAAGCATCCATAATATATTAATAATCCCACACACATGAGTATCTTTGTCACTTTCAATTATTTCTAGAAACTTCTCGAAAAATATTAATTCAACGTCCTACACCTCACTTTGTGAAAACTGTCCCTCTTCGTAACCTTGCTGCAAATTTCCGCCGGACCCTCTACAGGACATCTGTACACCAACTGACGGATTTTTGTGAAAATCGGTATGATCAGCGTTCTACCTGAGGTTACAATATCTTGGTACACGATAACTCTTTGTCATTAACATTTCCAATATGATGACAGCGAGACTTCTGAAGTGGAAGCAACATTTGGGCCATTTCATATAACTTTACTTATAGATTCGCCTGTTAATATATATAAAAACACACATACGTACATACCTACAAGCCAATTTACTTCATTTAGTGTGACTATGATAACTATGAAGCACAACAGATCACGGTAGGTCGCGGTGCAAGGGCCGAGAAGGCCCACCCCTATAAATTCATTCATTATTATATGATAACTATATGTCGCTGTAAATAGACTTTTACGCTTATATGAATACGCGTATGTGCTGTAAACACATCCACTAATTTCTTATGACAGGTGTCTTCTGTGTCTTATTTTAAATATACAGTTCGCTGTCGGGATAGTTTAGTCACGTAACTGAATAAGGGATAGACGGCAGGGGTTCGATTTCCGGTTCGGACAGGGATAACTTTCTTTGTCACCCCTTTCAGAACGGTTCGGAAGTTCAAACAGCCTCGCATAGAGTGGATTCTGAAACTTCTTTCCCCGAGGATAAAGCTGTCAGAGAGTATAACTAGCCATTCGGTTTCGTCTGCAGTGTACTGGAGTGAGTTTGGGTACATTTCTGCGTTTCCCTTTCCTCAGTCGTCCCAGGCATACGCTAGGATAATGCCCCGAACTAAATCACAGCCCTTTCTTCCGCCATATTCCCTAATCATCCTATCATTAGACGCTGCCGAATTACAGGGCGGCTGTGACGGATTACAGCTCTTATAGCCTATTCTAAATAAAATAATCAGCCTTTGACAATGGATATTGAGAAATAAAACTATTGAAACCTTTAGTATAGATAGTAGTTCTCCAGGCCGAGATTCGAATCTGGAACCTCCAGAATATGACACAGTAGTGTTAACAACTGCACCACGATGTGAGAAGACAAGACAAAATATTAAGTAGTTGAGACAGTGTCGTCTGCCTTAGCACTTCTAATAGCGATAATTAATTTCAGCAAGAAAGGAAAGATGTAGGTCTGCTCCACTTTTCAGTGTGTACATTTCTAAATATATTTATTGCTATTTTTCATAGGACATTTACATTGGTATTCATTTATTGCAGATAAAAATCCATTGTTGCAAAGATAATTACACTGCAGATATAAAACCTTACAATTTTCTTAACTTTTCTTTAAACATTCATTATCCTATGGAGAAACATTTCAATTAAAATGTGCAGCACTTAACCAGATCATCAATTACGGTGTGTACCGGTTTCTTCATAAGATGAGAAATTTTTATGAAAATCTATACATTTCGAAGCAAGCTTCATGTAATGAGGCCAATCTTTTGGATCGATGTATAAAAAATTAAATTTCCCAGCAGATGTTAGTGTAGACAGGGCTCCCCTAATAACCTGCGTCGAAACTCCTTGAGTAAGCTCAGTTGCGGAGAGAAAACGTGTACAGAGATACGACCTCCCTACTGTGTGTTACTTTCATGCACTTCGTACACAAAAACCAAATCACAGTTTCCACAGGGGACTGGAGAACATAAATCTTAGAATGAGATTAAGGTTCCCAGAGCGAAAATTAGGCTTATTAATATCACGGCCTACTGGGATGTGACTCCGTATATTATGGTAGGTAGATAAAATGCTGGGAAATTCTTGAGTAGCTGCAGATTTGGTTTCTCCTGAAGAAGGGCACAGCTCCATAAGTAAAGATATCGGGGTTTTGGTGGAAAGTTGGTAGGCGTAAGTAATGGTAAAATTATACCTGTAACAGGCCGTGGAGGCCCATAGGGTTGTGAGAGGTTGAGGCTCCCACATTTTCTAGAAAAT